CGTCCAAGCCTCTGCACCATATAGCAGGACTGGAATTATTAGTGACTTATAGAGTTTGGTTTTTGTTTGTCGAGAGAGGGCTTTGCTTTTCAATTGCTTACTCAGTCCGAAGTAGCATCTGTTGGCAAGAGATATCCTGCGTTGRATTTCCAGGCTGACATTGTTGGTCGTGTTTACCCTGGTTCMAAGATAGACGAAATTATCCACGACCTCAAAGTTGTGACTGTCAACATTGACATTAGTGCCAAGTCGCGAGTGCGACGACTGTTTGTTTGATGACAGGAGATATTTCGTCTTGCCCTCGTTCACTGCCAGACCCATTTGTTTTGCTTCCTTGTCCAGTCTGGAGAAGCAGAACTAACGGCGCGGGTGTTMAGGCCSATGATAGATATACGCCAGCAGCTGTACACTYTTATAGAAGATGGTACCTTCTCTTTTTAGTTCTGTAGATCGAACMATTCTCTCCAGAAGCAGGTTGAAGAAGTCGCATGATAGAGAATCGTGAAAAATCATTGTTACCATTTAAGTTTGACAACACTTCTTTCGAATTTTTTTTACAGGTTAAGTTGATATTGACAAAGCCGAATTTCAAAAYTTCAACCAAAATGCAGTTGGGTTTAAAACCGTAATAGGGGCTAAAATTATAACAATAAAATTGCTGCCTAAAAACACATATACAAATTTAGATGTTCTTACCAGAGATAAAGAAGTCACCCGACTTTGACTTATTTTGTGTGATTACTACATCATCTGGAATTAGTTGGTAATCTGTTTATCACTCTTTTACACATTCTTCTGTTTATATTTTTAGATATATTTGTTGTAATATATGAAGGTAGTATTCTTATGACGTAAATTTGTGAGCATATCTGGCTACAAAGGCATAAAAGCTTAAAAAATGTCACTTTTCACAAAACATTTCCAATAAAGTAATTACTTCTTGTCAAATTTACACACTTTATTTTAAATCAAATGTCTGTTAGTGTTGGACCAAATATCTATACACCCTAATGGCCAATAAATGTTACACAGGCTGAAAATTTTATATTCCAGTATTCCAACTACATATATTTTTGTAATATTAAAAAATTTTTTTTTATTTTTATGTATAAGAATTTCACAGAGGGCTTTAAAATATGTACGCGTCTTAAGGGTTTAGGGATAGTCAGAATTTTCAAAAAATATTTTTTTTTGCATTTTCGTGAAAATATTTCCTGAAAATCTCACGTTGATCCCATAATTTTTCTMAAAACTATGTTTTTTGAACYGGTGAGAACTCTGACTCGAAAACTGCTCAATAGATTTTAATGAAATTTATACAACTTTAAGAATACATAATAAACTCGGGCCTGATCGAAGGATTTTTTTTTCAAAAATTTCGATTTTTTTCGCAAAAATTTAGGAAACAATTTCCTGAGGCCGCCATTTTGTTAATTTTGACAAAAAACAATCCTTCGATCAGGCCCAGGATTATCTATTTATAAAACTTTTTTTTTGTCCGAATGATTTTAGATGATTCTCCAAGGACTTATGGTTCCCACCACAAGTACCTTTTTTGGAACAGGGTAAACACAGAACACTATAACTTTGGAAATAAATTTTTTTTTTTTGAAATTTTCGTGACTTCAGGTCAACACATTCTGTAATAATGCCATATTACTGCTTTTGTAAAATAACACGATCCTCTCCTCCTAACCCCTTAAAGAGATAAGGTCAAGAAAAAAACTCTCTAAAGTCAAAAATGTACAGCACGTCTGATTTTCTACTGAAAACATCGAAATTGGGTTATAGAAGATTGGAAAAATGTTATCTTTATTGAAGAATGAAAATAAATGTAAATCAGTTCGTTTAAATCCAGTACGTTCGGATCWGACCACAAGAAGAATTGTTCAAAAGTATTGTGATAATCAGAAATAAATTTCCTGTGAGTTACATGGTTTAGAGTGGAATTTCCCACAATCGTTGCAGTGGATTGGTATTTATAAATGGTTCCTTAATTCTTCTTCATATACTGACATTATTAAGGTATTTTTAGAGCCATTATGCCTTGTTTAAGAGCTCTCGGTACTCGACTTATCAACCAACCGGAATAACCAGATTAATATAAAATATAATATACAGTTAGCGTGGTGAGTCTTAAGTCTTCGACTATCGATTAACCATTCGTTGCCGACTTTTCGAATAGTAAACGCTAAAATTATAGACATTTTTACTACGTATATAAGTTTATAAAAAAAATTGAAATATATACGAACACAATGGCATTTTAACTAATTCAAAACAAGCAAAAGTCAAAGGCCGGTCGGCTTCAAAATTTTTTTAATTTATTCGAATACTCGCAGCAGAGCAACTATTCGAATAGTCGCAGTAGAACATCTGCAATGTTACGACTACTCGCATAGTATTAATCGGTTAATATTCATACGAACGATTACAAATCGGATATTCGAATAAAAGCTTTTCACGTTTGGCCTCAACAACCGCGTCTTTAGTTCTGCTTTCTCCATAATGGATAAGGAAGCGAAGCAAATGGGTCTGGTAGTGAACGAGAGCAAGAAGAAGTATCTCCAGCCATCAAACAAATAGTCGTYGCACTCGCGACTAGGCTCCCAGGTCACTGTTGACAGTAATAATTTCGAAGTCGTAGTGACTCGATCTGAACCATTTTGCCTAAGATTGTACCGTTACCTTTAAAAATACTCCATGACAAATTTGATAAAGATATCTCTCGAAAAAAAATAAGCTATATGCTGCAGTGGTTCGATCTGAGTAATTTTCTCGGAGGTTGCATCATTCCTTAGACAATAATATATTCAAAATTTCTTGAAGATATCTCATAAAATGAAAAAGCACTCTATACTGCTCTGTTCAGTTTGTGAGGTAATTATATGGCTGTCCTGGTGGAGCACTACACCCTTCCTGTTGATTAAACAGGATTTCAATGCGATACGAATTACAATCAAAATGCGTTTGAAATTGTTTGCTGAAGCAGACCAAATACTAATATTTTTAAGATTATAAAAATGCTATTATGGTAAAAACAAAAATGCCGATTTTTGAAATACTAGGCTGGCCTAAGTCCTTAGTAATTTTCGCCTCTTTTTGCTCTCAAACCTTCAACAAATGGCTAATTTCGATCAATTTGTTTTCAGTAGTGTTGTAGCATTTCAGCATTCTCATACATCTGCATTCTGCTGATTACATTCTTATCACAGCTGGAAATCATAGCTGGAAGGAGGCTTTTCAAGCATCAAACATTCAAACTGCCACAAACAATATTTATAATACGCATTCTATTCGTGGTGGTGCTTCGTTGGTTAAGGTGTTAATCAATTGTAATATGTCGTTTCTCGTGGGACTCTTTCGGATGTAACCTTCTTCTTTAATTTCCCCGTTATAAAAAAAKAACGTATTTTACAATTTTTTAATKCATATATCCGTTTATTTTAATAGGTTTTCAATTTCACTATTTTAATTTAGTGTTTGCGCATTTTGTGCTTGTCTTTCTTTTCGCTCGCATTTCATTTATACCAATATTAAGTATATGAAAATGGCAACTATTTAAGATTTACTTATGCATAAGTAGAATTTAAAAATTTCCCCACATTTTACAATAAAATTATATTAAATAYAACAAAAACAAAATTATAATATGCAAGTTATTAATTAAACTATTTTTTTGTGGGCGCTAAGTAGTATTTCACATTTAGTTTGTTCTAATACGTATTCTTTTTAATGAWACATACATGAATTCTTTGGTTTTATGCCCTATAGTTCGGAGTTGCATTTCTACTTTAGTGTTAATAAATATGTTTTCCTTTTTGATATTTTGAGCTTTCAGTTTACTTTCTAGCAAAAATTGCGTTCAGATATATGCATACATATCAACTGAAATTATATACATTTTTTTTACTTTAACACTTCTGTTTTAATCATGGTCTGACTGTATGTTTTCTAAAAAGCTTTACGTATTTGGAAATGCAACTCAAATCTATAAACTAAAAATTAAAGTTAAACATTTTTGRCAACCTTTTATGAAGGTTTAAGACTTCTCTTTTTAATCCGCATATTTCTTATTAAATATTATTTTTTTTTTTAACTACAATATTTTCAGTACTATTAGGAAATGCATATTTTATAAAGCCATTGTTTATAAATCTATTATAAAATAGTATATATTCTTATAAAAATTAATAATAATAAAACTAGTTTACTTATACTGACTAAATTTTATCGCAAATCTACCTAAATAATACAACTTGGAATTATTTTGAGAGTTCTTTCCTGTGTACAGATCGAACGCATAGCAGCGCAAATGTTTTTGGCAAAAAAAAAAAATAATAATAATGTAGCAGCTACTGGCTATGGCAAATATGTACTGACGTAGATACTTAAATTAATAAAAACAGAGGGGAAATCAATATTTACAAAAGTTGTCARCATAAATGTAAATATTCATATTCCTTCCATATTTATATAYCATTACCTAACTAAACCCTCGCTCATGTTGTGACCTCACTCGCCTTCTCWGCTTCAATAGCGACAGTTGTCTGCTCCACTGGCGGAGGCATCGTCTCGCCCACTTTCAGACGTTCGGGCAGTGATTCGGGCGTGTTGATAATACCATACGGTCGTAAATGATAGATCAAATAGTCCAAAACATACATTTGATTTGGCGATACGTAATGGAAGGATATCGCCCTATCTGAACAGCAATCTAAGCCCTGTACCCGAAGAAGAAGGTGATCAAATATTAGAAATAAAAAAAAATACACATTGATGTATGATAACTCACCTCATCAGTTTTGTAGTAGATATAACGCCAGTACCAGAAATCTTTGTTAGTATGTGATGGTATTAAATGGTGTTCTGGCACAAATGGGAAGAAGCGGCCACGCGCGTGTTCGTCACGTGAATCGCCAGCGATTACGTCTACTTTCGCCAAACATTTGCCTATTTCAGCATCTTCAGCGCCGTTGTTGTCCTGCTTGCAGAAACTCTTATTCGGTATGGCTTTCTCAACAAATCGGCGAACCGCCTCTTTACTGAGAACGTAGCCAGCGCCACCGGACATATAACCCTGGAGGACAGTTGACAATGGTAATAAGTTAGCCACATTCTATCAAAATAATAATATATGTAAATTGAATAACAGTTTGTCTTGATCTTATCTGRAAATAGAGTGTTCTAACACAAGACTAAAAACTCAACTGAAAACCCATTTCCCTGAAAATGTAYAACTATACCTAGATCACTCGGCTTTCGAAGAAAACAAAGCTGATTTCACTCTTTCATAGGTGTTTCATTATATGAAGATCTCTCCGTTTTTAGCAAATTGTTATATATCCMGAAGTTGTCATTGATCTATGGTAGGATAAAAACTTTTGAACATTTTGAAYAACAGCTTCTTTTAATATTTGACAGAGACTTTTCATCGAAGCACCAAAACCTTGAAAGTTTTAAACCACTTCAGCAGAACGTTGTTATAAGAAGATTMTTCATAGCAGAATAGCACACCACTCGCTTCGACGAAAGGCTCCCGTATTAGAACCACGTCCTTCATATTAATACTACCTCCAATTGCTTATTCAGACATTCGAATCTGATTACCAAAAGAAAAGMACTTTGCTGAGCTTTTAGTTTTAATTTTCGAATTTTATAGAATTCTAACTTTTTTTTATATATATTTAGTAAGTATTTGGTTTGTAGGCATACAGAGCTCTGGATATGTTTGGGGTAAAGGTTGCGGTTTACCAGACATCAGAACTMTAGTGGCGAGGTTGATTGGTGTGCGTGCACTTTGTAAATACTATACTATAAATACTCCTTTGCTATGGATCCTGATAGTTAAATTGAAGRACTGGAGGAGCAAACTAGTTGCATTTACTATGAGGTATAGGATCACAGATATTTCTCTCCCCTCATTGGGAGCTTCTAGTTTTCAACTTGTGGACAGTGAGTACTTTTTAAGACTTTTCCTAGAAWGGAAGCCTTCGTGGAGACGAAATATTCACAAGAAAGTGAGGAAGACATCGGTAGACTTATATTGCTGTAGAGAAAAAGAGGTAGGTATCTTACATAAAGTGGCTCTATGAAGCAGTAATTAAGTCAATAACATTGTGGGTTTGTTGTATAGTAGACAGTGCTCGGAAAGCCCTTTCTTCCTAAGCAGCTGAAATGTGTTCATAGARCTGCTTTCATTGGTATTTATGATGAATTAAAGACAAAACCAATAGTACCCTTCTACACATAGCCACTGTGGATATTTCTGGCCGATGTAATGTGCCCAAGTCTCCCATAAAACTCAGGGAAGTTGAAGATGGGATATTCTGAAATCTTCCGCTAATTCGATTGTGTTTCTGATGACTTGGACTAGTACATCGCGATTCCATCGCTAAAAAGTTTCTTCTCTGAGCTCATATCMAATTTCCCTTCCTGAGCGAAGCCCCTGGGGAGCTGAGTGAGCTTATTATCAGATGGATCTAAGCTTAGAGGAAATATTGATCTCGCTGTGACCTCGTGTCAAGAAGTGTTTGACACCTTTATSATTAGCATCAAGCTACTTTGTTATCTGACTTGTTTTTGTGCAGAGTTACCACGGAATCGCTGGGAATTGTTGGAAAGCAGGTAAACTTGCTAGAYAGAGTACCCTTACCCCTATTTGATCAGATTGGCAACGAATCGGTACTAWGTTGTCTTCTTGAGAGAGTTGTCTCCTGAGAGGGAAATACTGATCAAAAACCAAGAATTGTGCGGCTGCAAGTTTCTTCTGCTCAAAGTCTAACAAAAGAGGTGGTCTGAACTAATTGCTCTTAGCCAGGTTCATCTCGCTGCTATGAAAGAATTTTGACCGGTCACTGTTCAATAGCTTTACATGCGATGAGGTTACATATCTTGTTTTAAGAAGATGCGAAGAAATCATATGTGCACTTATCAACTCTCCAGGTTTGAATAGACTGAGCTTGAATCAGCTCAATATACATATACATTTTCSCGAACCTGGCGAAGTTGCTGAGATWKATATTAGCCACCTTAAAAAACTTGTGGTAATCTCAAAGCATTAAAAATACAAAAAACTAGCCGTACGGCTCTCCCAGCGGGGTRTATAACGTAATGCCGACAATCAAAATCTCGAAATTTAGAATCCCGATAGTCAAAATGCCGATAAATCAAAACACTGACAAATGAAAATTACAATACCTACAAATCAAGARAAGGTGGGGGATACACTTATAATTCCGAAGTTCAAAATGCCGACTCATCAAAATACCGACGAAATTTAAATATGCAACTAACTTAAAACACCSCAAAATCAAAACACCGACAAACCAAAATGCCGACATGTGAAAAATATTTTAACTTATACCAGTACGCCCTTATCTCTATCGAAGCACAGAAAGAGAATTCTACTGACTAAGGGTTATRATCCTGAGAGTGTTCGTAGCCGGAGTCCTAATTCTAAATTTCGAGGTTTTTATTGTCGGTATTAAGTTATACGCCCGCTTGAAACATGTCAATACATATATTTTCGCGAACCTGGCGAAGTTGCTGATATTGATAATAGTCACCCTAACTTGTGGTTTCAAAGCGTTTCATCGATCTACTTATAAGAGGGTGGTGGTATATAGGAGTTTTAGTGGGATCCTGCATCACCTTTGGGGCCAATATCAACGCTAAGACCTTACCACTGTGTTAGTTAGAGCTATGTTGGGAGGTCGATGTCAAAAATTTTCTAGACATTAACATTGGCTTGGATTTCATAATAATATAGTATATTGTCAATAATAGGATTATTCATGAGATTCAAAATGAAAGGACAGCTCGTAAAAGTCTAAGGTCTACTAAATGTCCTGGATCATTTAAAAACAATATGAACAATATAGATCTTATGGGCGCTTTAGAACACTTGTAAATAAACATAAATTTAACTATCACTATAAGAATTGCTTGACCGACTCTAACCGATTTATATTGAATTATTGGTAATCTTACCTGTTTCACAAATGGTTTGAATTTGCAGCCAAAGTATATGGGTGTCTCCGGTGAGTAAGGATACAGCATATACCGCATATTTTCCATAACAGCATACCTGCAAAGCACAACAATATATTTCTAACTACAAATCGAGCTCTAAAGTCGTACTYACGTGTCATCGTCTGCTTTGAAGAACCAATCCGCGTCGTCCAAATGATGAGCATGAATATATTTGAATGCCTCCTTTGTTTTCGCCCACAAATTGCTGCGTCCCTCCTGCACTGGCAACGCCACTGAACCCAATTCTTCATCCTTCTCAGAGCTCATAAACACCAGCTTATTGCAGCGTTTGCCCCATGTTCTTTTTACGTGACGCGCTTTTGCYTTGTGATTCTTCGGGTTTGTCATAATCCAACACAATACACGCACCTCATTATGCAGTTTCAACGCTACACTTGAATTTTCATACGCATGTTGGTGTGCGCCAATATCCGCCTCCGGCCCCTCCGCRCCAAGCATGTCGTGGCTGTTGTGTGCATCGTTGGCATCGCCATGTTGATGACCCGCATATGGCAGATAGTCGTGGCGCGCCGGCGTCGATAGTATAAACATTTCAGCGAGACAAAAACCAACGACCAGGCCCACGATGAGGGAAACCAACGAGCGTCGATTCGATCGAGATCCTATTGAWAAGAGTTTGAATAAATAGAGATGTTTATTWCTGTGGATTTTTMAGCTATTCCTTAAAATATATTTACCAACTGTCGAATTCATGGCACAAATGTCAATGTTATTTTRACTTCAAACTGTTTTTATATCTGTGACATGTTCTAACAAATGCCAAATTAGTAATAAAACTTTTTGAAAACGAATTCCCAGATTATTCAATGGTATATTAACCTTTTAAATAAGAAATATTGTATAATGCAAATAATGACGGTGCTAGTATATCAAATAAACATGTATATAAAAAACGTTCCAACACTTGTGTCCACAACCAAAAAAAAATAGTGCAATCCGAAAAACGTTTGTTGAAAACATATTTCATTTGGTTAAAGATTAAATAACAGACATTTAAACAATAATGTCATAAGTGACAGATAAGAGCGGACTAAATTCGCGCGTAGTAAATTATKTTGCCGCCTTTCGACGGCAGTGTTAAAGGCGCAAGCTTTTTGCTGGCATAAACAGGTTCCCATAAAAATGGAACGCCGAAGTTAAGCATTTGGAAAAASTTTTTTGGTAGCCAGGTAATAGTAGTTTCTTCTTGGAGGACGCGTACAATAAAACAACAAATTTTTATCATTGCCCAAAARTATCTTTGCTCCACCATACTACCGTGTAGTTTTTCAAATATCATTTATTAATCGATCGCAAAAACTTCCAGAGTTATTGGGAATTTAATTTTAAACATAAWACGATATAACAGCTTTGAATTACAAAATATTTTTTTATGCTATTTACATTATTTGAACGGTAGAAACTATGTAAGGTTTTTCAAATAACACCCATACGAGTATTTCCGGATATAATAASGAATATATAAAATAACGAATATAGAAACTCTTTAAATGGCACTGGAGCTCTCAAAATATCCGGAGCCAAAAAATCGAAATATTTATATTTTAAACTTATACGTTGTTATAAAGAATAGTTTAGTGATTACATTGAATACACACATCTTAAAAGTCTCACTTATAAAAATTAGAAAATGTTGGGTTGAGTGCAAAACTAAATTGATGTCAGAGCTTTTCTCGATATACAGTATCTTAGTTATTTTATTCTCAGACGCCACAATTTCAACAAATTTGATGTTTTTGTCGAGATAAAAGTAAATAAACACGAATAATTGTTTGCACAAAATAAAAACGTAATTGTTTTGACACAAATAACTCATAATTTACGTATTTGAAAAGTTGTCTCTAATTTGCAAATTAATTYATCGCAAGAATGCCAAAACAAAATTGATCTGGTTCAGAGACTTAAGTAGAGAAATAACAAATATTGTAGTTTCAGGCATACGRCCAACGAAACTGGTTTTATGAAGATTTCGTCCACAAAACGCCGAATAYTAATTTCTAACTGGTCAATTGTAGCCAACTTCTAATTACAAACCTTTAACAGATCCATTTCATAAGATACAAATGGCTCTCAAAAATGTTGAACTGTGGTTTGCCGTGTTATCGCCATCTATCTAGTTCTATCAGATTAGAACTATTTAACATTCATACCACCGATATTGACTGGAGAAGCATTCAAATTAAACTGTCTGTAGTCTATCTTAATTTGAATCGAGAATCGAGAAGCATTCAAATTAAACTGTCTGTAGTCTATCTTAATTTGAATCGAGAAATGATCTTTTATTTTTCATAATTCTGCAAAACCTGCGCTAGATAAATATTTGTTATAAATGTTTAATCAATTATTTACGTCGAAAGTTGTTTTGACCTGTTCCTCTTTACTACCTCTAATGGTACCTTATAAAAATACGCAAACGAATTACAGCATCAAATTTTTGTTTCGAGGAAAGTTGAATTTATAGTGCGTTTAATAGATTTCGTTWCAAAATATGGAAAACAGACTTCGAAGCTGTAATACCATTCACAGTAGGATTTCTTATAGCAACTACTGGTACTTATATCTGATATCGTAACCGACTAACGGTTTGCATCCAAGGGAAAACCTTTTGCTAGTTCTTTGAAACCAGATTTTTTGTTATAAACAATTTTCATGGTGATTTTGGTTACTTATTAAGAATAAAAGATATTTTCTCCATATTCGGACATTGCAGGTAACTACTTGTGTCTTGGACATGACAATCCGTGCTAAATTTAGTGAAGATAATTTGTCAGTTAAAAAAGTCTCCGGTTRGTATCTAGCTGCCATACGAACTGACCGATCAAAATTGAAATTAAGATCTTTTTGTAGCTGAAGTTATCGTTCTTTCTTTCTTTATTAGAATTTGCTTACCATCAGTTAGCACTGAGCGTCCTAGCAGCCCGTTGACAGTCATTTGTTTGACTTAAAAATGTGTTTCCTTAACTATAATATATATATGGGATATTTCCGGTGTCCCCGTATCTTCTAAAAGTATCACGACGATTCCTTAATAAATGACGACTTGTTGGTTCTTTGGTTAGGTTGTGTGGACTACATACTGTTTCCAGCTTTCACATTATCTGAAAATAATAAAAAAATAGCATGTAAAATTCTACACATTAAAAATCTGAAAAGTTTCTGATAATATAAATAGAAATATTAGTTTAATATGTTGTATATGTCAAATAAGTTGTAATGTTTTCAGTCAAAAATGTGATTCATATATTATAGTACATCATAAATATCAAGACTGAATTTAATTCAGAAATTGGTCGCAATGTAGCCTCTCAACGAAAAACCAGAAACCGAATATACAAATACAGATTTTCAACATTATCTTCCTTTGTCAAAAGCAACGAGGTTTAAAAAATATTTACTGCCGTATAGCAGACTCGTGTCTACGAATATATACCTGACGGATGACGTAAATTCGATATTTTCTCTAAAAAAGTCAGAAAAAAATTACGGTTATAGACCTTGGCATCCAAATTCGTTTGAATGTCAAATTACATTCTTTACAATCATTTACTAAAGCAAGGTTTTTGGATGAAGGTTGTTTAAATAACGTTTATTTAAACTCAAATCGTGACAAAGTGGTTCTAAAACAGCAGAACCGTTATTATATACTTACATACATAATACTGAATTTACAAAAACTTAAAWTAACACGAAAGTACGTGCCAGCACAAAAATGGCAATGAATATTACACTAAGACTTGTTGAGAAATTGWTGTAAGTATTGGCAGCATCACGTCTATAATTACTCTCTGAACCGGGTATATTTAATTTACCACGTTGTTTGTAACACACAAAAGAAAATGTCAGAGACCGTTTAAAGTGTATATACATGATCAGCCGAGTTGGGTCGGTTTACCCAGGTCAGTGCGTTTATATGCAAACTAGTTTCYCAGTTTTCAAGATACATCCGCGTCGTTAGCTCTGCTTTCTCCAGTTTGGATAAGGAAGCGAAGCAACTAGGTCTSGTAGTGACCGAAGGCAAGACGAAACATTTCCTGTCTTCAATCAAATAGTCAATAACATTTAAGAAGAGCTGTACGAGTTATACGTCGACATATAATAGCCGCTGAAAGTATTCATCACAGTACCCGCTGGGGGAAGTAAATGCGTTGGAAAGACCAGGTGGAAAACGACTGATGGGTTGATAGCCATCATACCCAAATTTTACCTTATTTTTCAATCTCAAATGTCAAAATTAATGAATTAACTTAATAAAATGATGGGAGTGAAAATATCCATTGTATATATCGATTTTTGGAAATTTTCAAACCCACYTAACCCCTTAACTGCCGTTAATATTAGAGAGCTGAGAAATATAAAAATATGCACATTTTTTAGAATAATTCTGCACCTTTCTATCGCGCCCCCTCGGTAAGCTAYACGAGGTGTGTTCAAAAAGTATCGCGAATTTTGTGTTTTTTCAAAAATTATTTATTTATTCATGAATATCTATTTTGTCCCATTCAAATTAATCCCCATAAGATATTATACAGTTGTGCCAACAGTTTTTCCAATCTTCGAAGCACTTCAAAAAATAATTGTTTTTTTTTATCTTCTTCAGCTCCTCCTTCGATGCCGTCTTTATCTCAAGAGAAGCGTAACGTCTTCCTTCCATGGGCCTCTGCAGTTTAGGGAACAAGAAAAAGTCACAGGGGGCCARATCTGTGGAATACGGTGGCTGCGGCATCATTAGTGTGTTGTTTTTGGCCAAAAAGTCGCACACAAACAACGATGTATAAGCAGGGGCGTTATCGTGGTGCAAAAGCCAATTTTGGTCACATCTTCTCGGCCTTCTGAGAACATTTTGTACCACCG